CCATTTCTCCCTCTCATTCTCACTTACATTTCTTTGTCCCCATTCTCTCTTTCATCATCTTATCTCTCTCCCTCTCACTCTCTCTATTTGAATTTTCGAAATATACCAACTTATTGAAAAAAATACTCAGTAAACTGTTTTTATTGAATAAAAAAATACTAGTACGTAAATAAATCAAATATTTTTTTCCGTGTATTGCTCTTTTTCTTTTGATGTATCATGTTAAGTTTTTTGCGTGTCTCTCAACGACAATTTTGAAATGGTTACAGAGAACATCTACCTTGAATTCAATATTCTAAAAGATAATAGAAAAACGAACTATAATTTTACATAAAATTAATACAAAATTACACTTAATAAGAAGGAATTACTGTTAGTGATTATTTGGTTATTTATTACATTTATTTCAATTTCGCCAAATTGTTTTACTGCAGAATATTCAATGTTGTGCTTCGTTAGACGAAATTAATTTCGATACGTTGTTTGCCTCATTTCATTCAGCAAGCAAAATGCACTACTTTCATTGTTATTTATAATTAACATTCATCTCTATCCTACTGCTTTAATTAACACGATAATACAACTTTATTATGATAATTGTGCTTTATTTCTTCAAATAACATTAAGTAAATGAGCATCGATTTTGTGTGGATATCTGAGCACAAAGAAACGTTCATTTGGGAAATACAAATAAACATACTATTTTAAAGGGATTCTGGGAATTCAGACGGGTCGGACTGACAATGAGAGAAGGTGAGCAGAGGGGCAGTTGGACGGCCGGTCAGACGAAAGGCCGGACGGACAAACTGTCGGTCGGAAGGACACAACTATACGAGTGAATAGATTGAATGAACCAAGCATTTTTATTTCATACTTACCATATAAATTCCGAAAGCTTGAAATCAAGATCATAGCAAGTTTGATAATGTAAAAAAATAAGGAATTCCAATGACGGGTCCCATAATTCTCCTTGTTTTGTCGTCTACGTCAAACGTACACATTACGTAGTTTTCGTCGACACGACGATATCAACACTAACGCACAATGAGCACGGAAGAAATGACAAATGCAGTATCCATAGTACCAATATATTATGGCAAGAAATTAGTGGTTAATAGTTCTCAAGTTAATTCAAATATAGCAGGAATAAACACAAGTAATTTTTTGGGTTTTGAGGTTATGTATATGAGGCTACATGTGGTATATTCAGTTCCAATTACTTCCTAGTTTTAACGTATGCTTTCGATGGTACGATTTGCCAAAACTCATTTTTCTGAAGATAGTTATTTCCTATTGATAATATTTACGTAATAGGATACCCCGTGCTGCAAAACCTCTCTATTGTCTCGTAATTGTAATGTATTTGTGGATGGCGAGGTAGACGTCGAGATCCGCCGCCTACCTGTGCCGGCTTGCGGGGATTATCCCGAACTAGGAGTGTTCTACCAGCAGGGCATCGTTCCCGCCGGGACAAGCACTAAGCTCCCGCCTGCTCTCACGGGACTTGTTATTGTGTAGGGCGTGTAAGTATGTGTATAAGGCGAAGGAGGAAGGAAAGATGGCGCGCACACTTTGGCCCATTTATGAGGTCACTACCCCGGCATTCAACAAATTTTGATTGGAGAAACCACGGGAAACTACCGATCAGAGCACCCGGCAGCAAGAGTTCTCCTCCGGACAACAGCAGAAAATTTGGTCTAGCTCTTTTTCGCTAATGTCGAAAATGCTGCCACCGTCGGGAATCGAATCGTAGACCCTCCCTGTCAGAGGCACATCAGTTGATGCCCTAAGCCACCTAATTCGATGTTGGATTGGGTAATTTAAATGACGATCACAACGATGAATCAATTTTTGTTTATATTTAATCCACTACAATATTTTCAGTATGTTCCATGATTTAATTCGTGTGTTTAATTACAAAGCAGGTACTCTATCAGAAGCAGCTTGTACGTATGTATGCAGAGGGTTATTTGCTCTCATTGCTCAATCAGATTTCCCTCAGTAACCAGAGTTTTTTCTGATGATGAAATTTCACACGATACAGACTGGTGATTAATTAAATCGGTTTTTCATTCTCTTGTAACACAAAGCGACGATCAACAGGGGTCAAGTGTCATTAGAATTAATACCACCTACCTTGCACTCACAGATTGAATGTCAAATTTAGTGTTATTTCTAAATATCCTTCAAATATGATTTGGGATACAATAACCAAGTGAGGGTATTTGGAAAAATCAAAATACAAAAAAGAATTATCACATTACACGACACTTGTATTTCAAACTTGTAACTTGTAAAAGTTATTCAGTTTTACATTTCCAAATAGAATATTATTAATCAAAATCGAAGAGTTTCTCGAAAAACAGAATTAGTTAAAAATTGAGAAAATCGAGTTAGTGTTGACATCTTTTAGTGTGAACATTTCTGCATTAGAGGGTAATATCGAGTGGGCGTCAAGTGCATTAGATCCCAAGAAAATGAGCGAAGAAAAATAGGGAAGAACGAAGATTCTGGAAGAACATTGTTTGTCCACATTATTTGTGCTAAAAACAGCATAAGTCATGGACAAATTAAGATAACAACAGGAAGCATGGTGATTAATCCTTCGTCTGTTGCAGCTTGCACCAGTTCTTTCCAGTATATTGTTTTTAATGCAGGTTAAAGTTAATATAAACATAAACCCTTCAGTATATTATTTATTGAAGGTTCCATTGTCTTCATTGTATTAAAGAATAACAATTAAAAATTAAAATACGTGCACTTTTAATGTTTACAAGTTTCTGGTTGAGGGGCCCTTGACGCATATACGAGATCCCAGCTGACTACACCGAAAAATTACCATTGTGAATCATTGGTATCGAGATAATATAAAAAAATATTTCCTGATGGTGTAAATTATTTTACAATTTTAAAATATTTTTTTCAAGCAAATAAAATGTTAAGTTCACGAAAAAAGTACAAAAATCGTTTTCGGTGGTGGTGGTGGTGGTG